ACTTAATTTAAGGTTGACTGGCTATATAAACTGTACGCATCAAAAAGGTTGAAGGCTTGTAACGGAGACCAAGGGCACTTCTATGGAGAGACATGGTCATTATTTAAAGGAAATTTTCATATAAGGTTGACCCATAAACAATAAAGCGCATCTTAAAAATATACTAGAAAAAGTTGTTTCAATGACGAAAAACCCTCAAATTTGATCATTTCGACTTTGAGATATATGAATGTGAAAAAAATAGACTTCAAGTATCGGAAATAGTGCATCTTGTAATGCATTATCTAGACCGTTAATTTTCAAGATTTTGAACTGTTCATATATATGTTTGATCTATAATATTTTTTAAGCTTTAAATTTTATAATTAGAAATATAAATAAATTTTCAAGCTAGCATAAATATTTTTGGCACTAAAATGATATTTTTCTATGTTATTTGAAGGTCTGTCTTACTTTGATCATTTTGGGCCTCAGCCTTATACAAAACTACACCCTTATTTAACATTTTAATTATTTTTTGGGTGTGATTTCTATAAGGTTGCAACTTTAAACAATCCAATTAAAGTGCACCTCCAAATTTTATCATAATATGTAATGTTGGTGTAAAAAAGTATTAGGATTATCTTAAAATCTATTTTCATATTTAATTATAAAATTTTAAACTTCAAAAATAGTTAAAATCAAGTAGATCTATAAGCATATGGAAATTTTGAAAATAGACTGTCTCAATAATGTGTTGCAAGATGCACTATTTTTCATACCCAATTTTTTTTTTTTTTTATACAATGTCGAGATGATCAATTAGAGGGTTTTTCAACATTAAAATAATATTTTGCTATGGATTTTTGAGGCGCATATATAATTCTATATTTTAAGGTTGCAACCTTGGATAAATTTTTTCCTTCTTTTTTACATTGAATTTATGTTAAATTGGCATAGTATTCGGGAAAAAATAAATAAAAATAGACCGCCATTAAATTTATTATTTAATGCAATATTAAAAGCATAAGTGTCAAAATTGAGGGATATATAATTTTGAAAAAATAACTAAAATATCTTTGAATGTTTTTAGGGCATTTTGGGTAATAAATTTTAAAAGTTATGTTTCAGGAGCGTGCCTAATTGAGAAACATGGTTATCCAAAATTCTAAACTAATCCAATTGGTAAAAAAATTAAAATTCTTCTCATCTAAACAGTGTAAGTACACTTTCAAGATGCCATATAATATGTCCACCATACTTCCCTCTCGAGCATTTTTTATTATTTTTCCATTTGTAGGTGGGAAAGTTCAAATATTGCATGCTCGAATCCGCTGCTTAAAGATTTTTCGGTGGGAAAGTTCAAATATCGGATGCTTGAATACGTTATTTAAAAAATTTCGACTTTGGACATTTAATATCGGACCCATCTTAGTGTTCGAATAAATTTATAAAAAATATCACATGTAAGCCCTTTTATTTAGGGTAAATCATATTTCAACCCTTGAAGATGGAATCCCAAAGAAAAACATCCATTGATTTCAATTTCAAGCGGCCTCCAAATTTTGAACCTTAGATCTTTTTCTTTTTCCTCAAAAATTACCCCTCAAGCCAATTCCAAGCCCTAAATCTTATCAGCACTCTCTCATGCCCTCTCTTTCTAACCACCACTTTTCTATTTTCTCTTTTCTCACCATAGCCATCTCTCTACTCCCCTTTGCTTACCATAATAATTGGGAATATTTTTTGAAGTCTTGACTGAATCTAGAGTGAAAGTATTGAGGACCATCTGTGAAATATTTTGAAATATTTACAGTGTACTTCTTTGATTGACAAAACTCATTCAAGAAATTCATCTAAGAGATGTACTATGTACCATTTTAATCCAATTTAAAAATCCTATAAAAAAAATACATACAAATATGAATTGGAATAGTTGAAAAAGGATAAAAGCTACATGGTTGAGAAGTTCATTGTATTTTGATAAAACCTCATTCAATTTGAACCATAGAAGACCAATTCTAGGGTTACATTCAACTGGAAGTTGGAAAACTAGGAAGTCTGGAGTCTAGAGGCTGGAAAATTTGAATCTGGATATCAGTGTTTAAAAGATGTGTCGATTTTTAAAAAATCAGCTGACTAACCCGGGATCGGTCATTGGTCGATCCCGATCTGGCCCGATTCCAATGGTCATGTATGTAGGAATTTTTTTCAGTGTACTAATCAACCGACTAATTTGACTAATCGGCCTATTAGTGTACTAACCGGCAATTTGTTCTAAAAACCAGACGATAAGTGCAATGTCACAGTGCGCAAAGTTGTCCTAATAACATTTTTTATATATTTCTCCTTTTTTTTTCTTTTCCCCACTCTTCTATGGACATGGTTTCTATGCGGCCAGCCCGCCGCATATTGTAAGAATGCGGGCTTGGAAATAAATATATTTTAAATATAATTGGATCCTAATTTTTAAAAAATACATAATCTTTAACATGGAGATCATGCATATGAAACAAAAAAATTGAAAACTAGAAATAATAATTATATTAAGAAAATATTTGGACCATTAGTTACACTTGTATTTAGATGGACAAGATGGATGCATATGGATGCTTTATACCTCTGGATCGCATAATGTAGAAATGTGGTCCAACCTACATGAAACAATTTTCCTTCTTCTATTTCTCTATTTAAAACTTTATATATTATTCTAAATTTTTTATTTGCTAACTACAAGATTTGCTGCCTTGGGTGAGTAAATTCAGACGCACCAAAGTTGATCAGGCCTGACAAGGTGCCAAGCCTATGGGTCCCTAAACTCTGGGGGATATAAAATTTATTTGTTGTTCATCTGATTTGATCTTCAATCTAATACCATCACCACCAACCCCCGAGGGGCACATAGACATACACATAAACACAAATATTAGAGAGAGATGGAAATTTATCAAAATTGTCACAAAGAGACAAACAATTTTATATTTTACCTACATTTTTAATTGAATTCCAAAAACCCCAAAAAACAAACATGGTCTTCAATAGAAATATTAGAAAATTTTATAATATTATATCATATTGTATTATATATTTATATTTATTTTTTTATTTTTAATGTAATTTATATTGTATAGTATATATTGATTTCATATTGTATATAATATATGCTATTAATATATAATGATCACTGAAAATTTATTACTTTACGTGCCTAAACATTTTTTCCAAAACCCAATTGTGCTTATGATATTTACTTTTTTTTTTACTTTTTTTATGTGACAATATAGAAAAACAATACATATAAATTTTAAATATTTTTTACAATTTTTTTTGGAATTTTTTGGGATTTTTTTTCACCAAAATTGCATTTTTTTTAAAAAAATCGGTGCACCAACCAGCCAATATAGTCGGAATCAATTGAACTAATCACATCGGGCCAAGACCGAATCTTCGGCCCAATCCATTATTTTGAACACTGCTGGATACAGAGAATATCATGTCTCATTGACCAACAGGTGCAGAGGCAATTGGACATATGTTTTTTTTTTGTTTTGGTACTCCTCGAGCTGCACTCTAACCTACCCGATATGTTTAATATTTAAACCCAAACCGGTTCAATGGATTCATAAAATGAATCTGAACCCAACCCGGGTAAAGGCAACCTAGAGACTCAACCCCATTGACAACATTATGTTAGAAAGAGGCATTAGAGAGGGGCTGGAAGAGAGGGAGAAGGATGCATGAAATAGGAAAAGAAAAGAGAGCAGCTCTATCACCAATTATCGCTCTGGAATAGATGGGGATATTCAATTTCTTCAACTCAAAGTTGAAAAAACTTATTAAAAAAAATGTTCTTAACATAGAGAGAACTCCAACCACTAGTTTGATTTTGACATTAAGAGCATGTTTGTTCGTCAAAAACCTCTCTTTAAAGAGTTAAGGGCATGTTTGTTTCACCGGAAAGCTCTGTTCATTCCAGAGAGAGCTTTCTGTCACAAGAGAAGATTAAAATGAAAGAAACAAGTCCTTGGAAAGTATCAACAAACAAAAGAAAGATAATTTTTGAGACCTAAGTTTCCTCTGGCCACAAAAATTCAAGTGGCGCTGCTTTACAAGTTATCAACTGAAACATAAATAAATTACAAGCCCCTTTCTTCAAAAACTCTTTAGTTGTCATTTGGTCATGACGTATGTGAGAAACTAAATGAAAAATAGAAGGTACGAGCTGGTTCACTTCATCAAATATGAAAGATTAACAATCTCTTTTCTTCTGAAAGATTAACAAAGGGCATAAGAGTTACATCAAGTTACATGGTGCAACCAAAGGAACATTAACTACAAAAAAAGAAGAGAACATCATCTTCAATGAAGTGAATGTTCTGGTCGTAGATCATTCTATTTACACATCTCCCATCTTCCAGAGGCTGTTACAAATCTGGAAGTCAGATGCCTCTGTGGGATGAAATTGGAATCTCTCCACAATCTTCTTATCTCTTTCAACAACATCTGAAACGACTTGTCAAGGGAACATAAACAAAACTAAGTCTGCCATTTTTCAATATCCAAGTTATGTCATGAATTAAGCCCATTTATTCAATCACCATTTGCTCTATTAACAAAAATAAGCTCACTTGGTAAAGGATACACCCAGATACTCTTGATTTCTCCTCAAAATTTGGTAATATCCTTGTGACAGAAGCATACATGGAAATCTCACTCCTGCATCAAGAAAAAACACAAATTTCCTACTCATTTGAGAAACCAAAATGCTTCATGACAAAGTAGATCACTTCCAAACTCAATTACATATCATCAGTATATGATTGAGAATGCTACATATCAACATTGCAAAATAAAAATACATCTAGGGCCAAAAGAAAAGCCAAACAATTCGTTACTGAAGTAATGCAACCCAAAAAGAAGCCTTTACAACATCACGTGAAATTTTCTTATCATTATTTGGCAAGCCTTAAAGTAAAAAATTTAAACCTAGAAAAGGGATAAGGGCAGGTGCTTTCTCAAGTTTACAATATTTCTTGTCACACACCCTTTGGATACACCAAGAGAAGCTTCTATGTCTGTGTATATCATTATACTATATAACTAAACAACAAGGGCTACTCATTTGAGCTATGCGTTTGAACCCATCAAATCATGTATGTATACTATGTGCCTGTTCATCCCATTATCAAGAAGGCAAGAACTATAATTCTATAAAACTTTCATGATATGCAAACTATTCAGTGGTTTTCCTCTGTGATTTGATCTTGTCATAGGAATAGAGTACTCAACGAATTTGCAATGCAACATTTGTGCCTTATCATACACATTGGCTGAACGCACCTTTCCATCTCTCTTTCATGCACAAACATGGCACATGGAGACACACACACACACACAAAACTAAAACGAACAATCTCTAACATAAAGTAAACCTTCTTTTTTATTGGTAAAAGATGGGTGGCTAGGGGGGAACAATAGCCAACATAGGTGAACCCTAAGACCAAGTGGAAAAGAAATACACCCAATAAACTACACAGGGTAATCTGATTTAAGGCTTTAAGCAACTTCTTCAGAAAGTGAGCAACTCCATCAAAGGGCACATCAATGGGACACAAGCACACTGAAGGGCCTGCCTCAAGAACCCGCTCAAGGCTTCAGCCTCATAACGCCACTGAAACAGAGCTATGACCTCTCTTTTGCATTGTAGCTTGTCTGCTGGACCCTCCGCTATCAACCATGTATAAGATGACATCCATCAAGATTGATCCTATGAACTTGTCTCCTCAAAGGAGCAGATGTTTCATTTTATTCAAAGCCCATATGCTCTCAGGGCTATCATGTTCTTCTTGTGCAGCAGTCTCCCCTTATATTTGTAGAAACCTTCCTATCTGATAACCCAATCCAACCAACTATAATGAATAAGTACCCAAAGACCAGATCCAGTTCCAATGACAGTGGTTGCTCTCAGATGGCTGGCCTGTCGTAAAAACATTCTTAATAGGGAGTGGACACTCCAGGTGCAAGGCCATGGCTTGTGAATCCCTTATATGTGACAATGTGTCAGGAAGAGGCTGAGTCTTTAGACCATCTCCTGATTCATTGAGCATTTGAGAGGCCAGTATGGTCCCTTGTCTTGGATCACTTTGGGTTTACTTGGGTGACACCTATATAGAATTACAGATTGCTAGTTTGTTAGCTGGTTTATTTATGCTCCCTAGCAGGGCCTGCTTGGAGCGGCGGCTCTGTACTAAGGAATTCTTCAAGGATTTGGAGGGACAACAAAAAGGGATCGTGAAGGAAGACAATGGAAGCAAATTCAAGACCAGGTGATAGTCTGGACTTCAAGTAGAATGGATTTTCAGTTTTTTTTTTATTTTTTCACATTGGCCTTTTTGCCAACAAGGGCATGGCGTCTGAGACCAAGGTGGCTATATCCACCAGCAGGTTGTTTTGAGCTGAATTTCAATGGGAATTCACGAGGAAATCCGTCTCCAAGAAGGAATGGAGCATTTTATAGATGCATTGGGGAGGATGCTATTATATTTATCTGGATCCTTTATCCCTGTTTGGTTAGACCATTTACAGCAACGCTCTCTGTGTATTTAGTAGTGAAGAACAGTGCAGCTTGCTCCACTCTACTATCCATGGGTAAGGCCCTTCCATGACCATGCTTATCAACAATACCATCCACTAAAAAACAACTGTTTTCACATACTCAGAAGCAGATCTCTTACATGGTGGAGTTCTTGGGATGACCAAATGGGGTGACCTTAGCTTTTTGTGACCCTTCCATAGCTGAAGCGATGACATCATTGGCAGGCCTAAATTCGTTCCCTCAGGACCTAGAGATGGGGAGACTCAATGATGTTATGTAGGGAACTGGGTCTGCCCCTCCATGCTGGCATCCAGCTGTGAACTTTGAAGGTATATCAAATGTGGGTTCTTCTCAAATGTTCTTCCGTCATGTTAGGAGGCAAGCAAACTTTGATGTGGATGCACTTGCTACACCCTACTGTGGCATAACATGTTGCCACGTCCACTTTCCCCCTTTGCATTTGCTTTCTAAGTTAATGAAGTTAGCAATGAAAAAAATAACCGCGAGGTACCCAATAACAGAGCACCTTCCCACTTATTTGGCTCAGCTCCACCATCATGCATAAGACTAGCTTCAAGGTGGGCTGAAAACCGATGCGAATATATGTAAGAAAAAAAAGGGATGGTTCCTTGGAGAAGAAAATTAAAGCCCTTTAGTTCTATGGAAATGGGAAATGCAAATAGCAGCAAAAAAAAGTGAGGGAGAAAAGAAGGTTCTACTCAAAGGATAAGAGAAAATAGCCGGTGTTGAAACTTTGATATCCTCAATCTTCAATATAGCAATATTTTTGTCCTAGGAACCTAGGAACTACTAGTTCCATTAATATTTTTTGGAAACTTAACTTTATTATCTATAAAGTTTATGAAATAATTGCATAAATGTTTTAAACAAAAAGATCATTGAAGCAGAGAAAGAGAAAATGGTTTTGCACTGGATATTTAAGGATTACAATAATACATTTGCAGGTTGGACACCATAAGGATGATAGATAAGATTGAGAATAGGGTTTTGTACTGCATAATTTAGTTTTACTAGACAAATGACAGGTTTATATTTTAGAACATAATAAGGTAAAATTTCACAGCACATGAAAATACGAGGCCATTAGGCAAGAGTAAATGCAGTCCTAATCTGGGGTTTAGGAAGAAAGAAGCTGCATCCATGAATGCGTTCTCCAGTGATCCCATGTATGAGAGGTGTAAATACTTAGAGAGGTGTGGGATCCTTTCCTTTTCAATACGAGATTATCTGACAGTTTTTGTACTGCATAATTTCATGTATGAGTAAAACACCCAAGCATCCTTAGTTACATATAAAAAACAATAATAAAGTGAAGATAACAAGTAGTACAAGAATTTGTCTCTTATCATTGTTAGAACAATCCAGGCACATGCACATACCCTCTTTTTTCTTTGTCGTTAGCAACTTGAGATGTACCATTGCTAACATCAACTATTAACAGCTCAAGCCTAAGCCCAATTCCTCACATGCACATAACCTCAAATAGACAGAAATATGATCTGCATAGCAATAGATTGACACGTTATTCATAGGTCCACAGGCATTTGACACGTTTCGTCTATCATAACCAGGATTAGCTTTGCATCATAGATCATACGAGCAAGAGGCATTTGAAATCCATTTAGCATTTGCACAATAACAACCTCGAAATCTGGTTTAGAAACAGCAGAGGAATGGAATAATGAAGTTTATTATCTGCCTTGAGAATACATTCTCAAGTACCCTTCTGCAAGAAAATTTTGCAAGGACATGAGATTTTGCCATTTGACACCACCAGAACGATGAACTGAAGAATCTGATTACAAGTATGTCACGTGAACTTTGCACATGAATGGAATGTCCACTCCCAAAACTAGCATTCCCTTGGTAACTTATAATCCATTCCTGAAAGAAAAGTGTCTATGTGGCAATGTGTCCATGATCATTCTTGTCCTGCTACATGTTCCCTCGGTGTTTTGATAACTATAACCAAGAGAAAATTAAAAGATATACTCCCATACTCCTAGAATGAAGCCAAAACCACAAGAATGTCAAAAACATCAAATTCAAAATCATTGAACAACCAAGACATTACCCATCAAACGAACTTTCCCTATATCAACTTTGTAGAAAATAGGACAAAATTTTTCTTGGGTCAGAATCTTCCACTTTGCATAGCCATCTAGTTGATGTCCACTAAGATGTAGTTTGATGCACCATCCTAACCAATATACTATTACCATTGAGATTAAGAGATATGGATATATCATATGTCGAAATATAACTTATTTTCTTAAATTAAACAATGTTTGAAGTTTTATAAGTTCTTAGTATAGTAACAGACTAATTTGTATTGGATCCAAAATTTTATGGGACAGGGATTTGGCATCAAGCTTGAACTTTACATCATAGATCCGAATCCATTTCTAGCCTACCCTAAAGAAAAAGTTGATAGCACACATGTAGAGCACCGAGTACTGAGTTATCAGACAATGGAGAATAAATTGTTGCACGTTGACGGTAAAGAACAAACATAGGACCATGAGTCAGAATCTTACTGTGTCTTTTGTAATTCTTTCTTCATTTTCTTTTGGATCTCCCGACTCCCTTCAATACGAATCCTTTGGCGATCTAGATCATCTATTTGCTCTCTCACCTTAGTGTTTAGAGACAATATTAAATAGAAATAAGGATGTCAACAAAATCCTGAATGTAATCCACTTATGAAGGGGAATGTACACCATAATCCAATGGAGTAGTTCTCCAAGAGGGCAAGTACCACCCCTTCCATTGACGAACGGGTGGAGATTAGCTGAACCTGAGCAAATGTCAAGGTCAATGCCCTTTGAAGTGAGGTATATTGTACTCCTTTGGATTTTAGTAACCAGACCCTCACTAATTTTCAGATATGTACTTATCTAAGTTCCTGATGCAGCAGTTCTTCATTTTGTAGTTCCTGTTGGAGTTCTTTTTGAAGAGATTCCACATCAGGTATGTCACTCTCACTTTCCGCCTTTATCTTTTCCTCGCATATAGCTATCTTTTTCTGAATTTCTGTGGATCAAACAAATAGGGTTCACCAAAAACTCATATTGTGTGTGTGTGTGTGTGTGTATAGGAAAACACTTAGAAACATTCATGAGTGAATTTCCACAGTATTTTACTAATGTCTCATCACTACCCAAAGTCCATCAGACGGTCACCATTGTTTGATAGTGTTTGAATTTTAATAATTTTTCTACATATTGTATTAACCTCAAGTTTTGAAAGCATGTGTATCTCAATGAGACGCAACTAAATAAAATACAAAAATAATTCAAATAATAAAACTGACCAAATCACCCCTAAAAATATTTCAGGGTTATTTATTTTATTTTTATGAGAGATGGTTAGATATACACACATCCCAATGAATCCAACTAATAGAAAAATTATTAAAATTAAAAAATTACCAATACCAGACAATTAGAGTCGTCTAATGGACTTTGGATGGCGATAAGCCATGATTTAATTATTGTATAAATTCACTCATAAGTGTTTTTTAAGTATTTTCCATGCACACATATACCTATCAAATTACTTTTTGCTAAAGAAAGTATATATATATATATATATATGAGTAAACCTTACAATAGCTGGACAACTATAATGAATAGTAATATAGGTGGAATCCCAGCCGTCAGATCTTCATCACATGGTTCAGAATGCCTATTACTATATGAATTTTAATTTTTTTTCTGTAAAAACATTATTTTCAATCATTTAAAATGACCAAATTACTTCCATCATTTTCAGGGGTATTTCGATCATTTTATATTTTGGGAAATATTTTTTAATTGTGCGCCCTAGTTTTTAGTACACACATCTAAAATTTCATTACAATCCGATTTCTAGAAACAATATTAAAATTCATAGAGTGATATGCATTCTGAACCACATGATGAAGATCTGACGGCTGGGATTCTATATTACTATTCATTATAGTTCACACACACACACACACATATATATCACACAAATGAAATTACCTTTTGCTAAATAAAGTGGTACAAGAGAAACAATCAAAAGCTAAGCCAAAAAAAGAAAAGGCAGTGAAAAACATAAGAAACCATATAAACTTCTTGATCTAGTAAGTGTCTTTGAAGGTGAACCTTTCCTATGGCAGTGATAAATTTACCTTAAATTTCCTACTCGTCTTGTAATACAGCAAGAGGATATATGCAGAATGAAGTCCGATTTCGTAACGCATAGTAAGTGGGGTTTTACAGTTTACATCAAGATCTCAAGATTAGCCTTTATCCAAGGGATTAAATTTACTTATAGGTCCTGCTTTATGCTTTCAACGTTTGAATTGTGGTTCATTTGTCTCCCTTCTTATCCAAGGCCAAGTTTTGGTTCATGTCCTGATTATAAAACCACAAGTTTTGCAAATCCTGTTTTGTGGAAGAATGTTGTTTGGATAGCTTTTGGATGGAACCAAGGTTATACATATCCCCTATTTGGTTCACTTGTCTGTAAAACCAAGATTTTCTGTTTCAATATATTTTCAGGCCAGTTTTTTTTTCTTTTTTTTGCTCGTATAAACTCATATTCTACATGTTGGGACCTACTTAGAAGGCAATCATTTTTATATTAAATTTTCATCGAATACAAATAAGAAAGGGTATGTCAGCTTGTCTGAAATTATTTATGTACATTTTATAAGAAAAATTGGTATTTCCTCAAACTCAAAAGGAAAAGGCAACCTATGGTCCTGTTTAAAGTGAATATTGTTATATGTTTATTACAAAATATATATTATATACTTCTTTTTGGTTGTAAAGATATTATAATCCATCGAAAAACCGCTAGTTCATAGAGCACAGATACCAATAATCCATTCAATCTCATCCTATGTAATCAACTTATTTGGCACATCAGTTGGCATATCAATATCATGTTTCACGGACACACATCACAATACATGTCAAATCACCATAGTCCCGCGTCTTGTTTGTATCTCAACAATAACTCTCTCTCTCTCTCTCTCTCTCTCTCTCTCTCTCTCTCTCTCTCTCTCTCTC